TTTTTTTTTTTTTTAGCATTTTATTTTTGCTAGAATCCTATTGGGCATTGACATTAAAGCAAAGGAAAGACTTTGACCTGTCAAGTGTCATGGATTTATTCTAGACTTATAATCTTATACTAGTACAAAGCCCGTGCGATGCACGGGGTGCACAATTTTAATGCTATTTATCCAGGTTTATAATTATATACATAAATAAAGAAAAATGTACGGGATATATATAGTACGTGACCCGTGCGAAGCACGGGATATATTTATTTGGAGGATAAGTACGTAACCCGTGCGATGCACGGGATGTAGAATTTGGAAGAATAATATAACCTTACGTGCATTAAGATCGAAATTGAAATCATTAAAATACATAGGAACATTGTTGAATCATAAAAAGTTCGGTAACAATCATATATTATTAAAAACCTCCTTGTACACAACATTATGAGTTTGATTATTTGGTAACTCCTCATTATCACAAACTAATATTTTCAAAAGAGACAAATTCTAAAAATCAAACTAATATTTTAGGATTTCTAGGATTTGTCTCTTTTTGGTGAACAAACTAATATTTTAGGATTAGTTATATGAATAAGGCTACCTGTTGTTGGTGTTCTTTTCATTCATTTTCATTTAAACAATCCGATGACTTGTATAATGAAATCCGAATCTTAAGCTGAAATATTTAAAAAAAGAGTTTTTAAAAATTGAAAAGTCAAGGCAATCAGTTCAGATTAATTAAAGATCAAAGAATATCGGCTCCTTGAAATAGAGACGTGTGCTATCATTAACCAAATATCCGGTTATTGATATAGAGTGGTTGCAAAAAAATAGAACGCGATAAGGACGCTTCATGGAAATATCAATGGGATAAGGTAATAACAAATCGCTATACATTTTCACGATAAAAGCTTAGATTGAATGATTTATGATAATTATGTCGTAATTAATGAATTAATTGGATGTGTGAAAAAGACATAACTAATGAGAAGTGTGAAAAGGACATAATTAATGAGAAGTGTGAAAAGGACAAAAACTTACCAGTTTTGGAAAATATTTAATGCAAATCCGACATTGACCATAATTTGACCTATTATTTTGGATAAATGTTAATTCTTATTATATAAGTATAGATTACCTATGTTTAAAGACTATTGGTTTATATATCATTCAATGTAGAAAAAACATTCTCATGCTGTGTGTATGTTATTTCATCTATATATCATCATCATGTTTGTCTACGAAAAAGTTGTTAAAAAATTATTAATATGGGTTTGCATGATATTCTATCAATAATTGGTACAAAGAGATTACTCTTGACTTACTACTTGTTAAAAATAGATGAATATATTATTACATATCTTACTTATATAAAAATTCATCCCATTTACTAGAATTAGTAAGAAGAAAAGTCAACTCATAATTAATTACACACCATATTTCGAAAGTTTTATATATATTTTAAATCATAAAATAAGGTAACATTAAATGCCCCTAAAATTATGGGTTTTGTTGAATTCATTTTTGAAAATTTTAACAGATATTGAAGTGAATATGAAATTTAAAATCTCTTCCCATTTTATTTTTAATAAAATCTGCATCCAAATTTACGTGTGGTTTTGCAGTGAAAATTTGAAATTCAAAATCTCTTCTCATTTTAGTTACAAGAAAATCGGGCTACATTCTACATTTGGACCAATTTAAAAATTATTACTTAAATGAAGGAATTTATAGATAATTGTTATCTCTACTCAATCACATGATTATTTTCAATATAAAAAGAGACAGATTACAAATTAGTGAATCATATATTACCTAATTCAATATCTTAACATTAAGGAATAAATCCATAATATTATGTAAATCCGTATTTCATATTATTATATCATTAAGAATATATTATAGTTATATTATCAAATCATAAAAAGATATTAAATCCATATTGTAAAAAAAATAATTCATATAATTTTATAACAATTACACTACACTATTTAACAGTATTCTTTTTTATTATATAATAAAATTATAATTAAATATTATATAGTGAACAACAATAATTAAAACGGTTATTTTCTCTTATATCAAGGGATAAATTTATATGCTAAAATTAAATTTTTATTAGTATAATGTTTTAGTGAGATAATATATTAATTACCTTACAAGCTACCCCTAACATGCTCATATTTAATGTTTTAGCTAAAAAAAACAACGCTGGTTAAAAGATGTGGAAAAAAACTTATAATAACCCTATTGTTTTTTAGACTTAACGTTGATTAAATGAGGTAGAAAATAGATAATAACCCTATTATTTTTTAAACTTAAACAGACAAGGGTATGAAAATAACTCATTTAACATAACTCATTTAACACATCTGTGATGCATGGATTACGTACTAATTCATATAACTGGAGATCTAAGTTGTAGCTAGCTAATTCAATACAGTGCATGTTATAGATATAACATCTCAATTTACAATGGAATATTTACTATATAAGAGTCCAATACAAATGTAAAAGTACCAACCAAATTGTAGAAAATAATATCTCAATTTATAATTTACAGTACACCCACATATAATTTATTTTGTATAATAATAATATTTGGGGGCTATCACTAGGACTCAGTATATATCACAAAAAATACATATGCATGTCAAAATAAATATTTTTGGTGAGATAATATATTAAATATAAATTTTAAATATATCAATACTGAAGGAAAATTTGTGACCGAGGCATGAATATTGAAGGGGAAGGGCACATAAAGAAAGAGAACATATATGTTATATTCATCCATTTGTTAAGCATTAACCTATTTTATTCATACAAAATAAAATAAGAGGATAAAAATAAAAATAAATAACTTACTGTNATAAAATTATATGTATTTTATTCAATATGCACTATTGATTTAATTTTCACGCAAAATTGATTCAAATTACAGGTAATATATATTATGATAATAATAAATCTAATGAATAATATAAGTAATTGTCTCATAATATATAAGTCATTTACTTATCTTTAATCCATCCAAAAAAAATATGTTGCGTTTTACAAAAAAAACATAGTAAATGGGCCTAGAAAACAAATTGTATAGAGTAGAAAAGGGCCCATCAACATGTGGACCGGCCAGCCTGGCAACTGTCAGAATCCAACGTGAGCTATCATCCCACAAATGTCGTGATTAAAAATTTAAAACCTAACTTTTTCCAACATTTGATAACACGCTTTTAGGTATAGTACACACCGCTTTTATTTTATTCTTCATTTCCCAGTCAATAATCGTTAAAAGGATATCATCATCATATTAACTGTGAGTGTGGTTCAACTTCTCCGCAGCTGCCGGCGGCTAGCGACGCCGAATCTCCGCTTGGATTCAGGATTTGGGGCCGGCATTGATCTGGGTTTGTGTATTTCTTGTTAAGAAATCGTTAACAAATTGGTTTATGTTTTTGTTGATTTACTGTTGGGTGCTTGGATCTGTGTGATATGTGCGCAGTTTATGTGTGGGTTTTGCGTACTGAAGGGCATTGCTGTTTTGTTTGGTTCAGGTCGCACTTTTTATTTTTTATTTTTTGGCTTTTTTCGTTGGTCATGTATTTGTTACGTGTGAATCTCGAGCTGAAATTGGGCTTTCTTGTAGGAAATAAGTGTTTGTTAGTCCTTTTTCGTTCATGGGGATTTTTCAAGTTTGGATTTCGTTGAATGAAGTAGATGATTTGGCTGGAAAAGTTGGTTCTGAAGAATCAAACAGCCTTTAATTATGTTTATGTGTAATGTAGAAAATTCGTCCTTGGTGGAAAACAGAAACACGTGGCATATGAATCAAGATTGTGGTGATTGAGATATACGATAATTTCGAATTTTGCATCTTGATTAATGTCTTTGTACAATGCAATCACATGTTTGGACTGATCTGCTTTGTTTTATACTAACGGGTTGATGGTTAATCATATACTATGCCCATTGTTAGATCTCTTTGAAAATTCGGGACTGGATTCTTCTCGTTTGTAAACTGTTCAGTTCATAGTTGATTTGTTCAACTTCATGGGGGAAAATGATTTATGTGCACTTCCAAGCTGCAAAGTGTGTGTAGTTTTCGTTTTATGTGAAATGTTGAAATATTAATTTGTACTATTTTTTTCCTTTCTTGTATTCTGATTTAATGTTATTATTTTTGCCCGATACTGACATTTTCTTCCAAATAACAGTCATATTTTGCTATTATTACCAAGATGGTGGTGCAGGGATTTACGGTCGACTTAAATAAACCTCTTGTCTTCCAGGTAAAAACACCGATCACTGATCTAGTTATTATAAATGCTCGTTTTATTTACGGTTATTCGAAATTCTGAAGTTTATAAGTAAATTTCTGCAGTGGCTACCTATTTGACTTCGTAAAATTTTATACTGATGATTCCTCATTGCTCGAGCTCATCCTTTACTTTATCTCATAATGACCGAAATTTCTTATATTTTCATAGGTTGGCCATCTTGGTGAAGAATATCAAGATTGGGTTCATCAGCCGATTGTTAGCAAGGAAGGCCCTCGATTTTTCGAAAGTGATTTCTGGGAGGTACTCATTTCGAGTTCCTCACGATCACATCTAAATTTTGTTCAGCCATTTTTGTTTTTGCACTATAAGCCATTCATGTCTTGAATTTTTTATTTTTATTTTTTCTTTTGAATAGTTTTTGACCCGTACGCAATGGTGGGTTATCCCTCTTATCTGGCTGCCGGTTGTTTTCTGGTTCATTTCGAGGTCCATTAGTTTGGGCCACACAATACCTCAAATTTTAGTGATTGCTTCTCTCGGCATTTTGACTTGGACACTTCTCGAATATACTCTGCACCGATTCCTTTTTCACATTAAGACAAAGAGTTATTGGTAAGCAAAAAATCCCTTGTTATTGTGATTTCTCGATTAATATTTTGTTTCGATAAACATTTTTTTTTTTGGTGAACTTTCAGGGGAAACACAGTTCATTATCTTCTCCATGGTTGTCATCATAAGCACCCAATGGATGGTCTGCGTCTCGTTTTTCCACCTGCTGCGACTGCTGTTCTTTTATATCCCGTATGCTTGCTAGTTGATCGTTTTTTTTGTGNTGTGTGATCTATACATATGTTTATTATTACAGTTTTGGAATTTGATAAAATTAATATCGACTCCGACGATGGCGCCTGCATTGTTCGGCGGTGGTTTGCTCGGTTATGTTATTTATGATGTCACTCATTTTTATGTGCACCATGGCCAGCCCACAAGTGAAATACCTAAGGGCCTCAAGGTAAAAATGCTCTCCACATTTCGCCAACTTAGGTTATGTTTGGTAAAACTAGCTGATAAGCTAGCTTATAGCTTATAAGTGATTTTCGAGCTTATAGCTGAAAAACTAGCTTGTATGACTAGCTGCAATAAAAATTTCAACGAGCTTATTTGAAAAGCTCATCAAAGAAGCTACGAGATAAGCTCGTCCTACTGTTACCAAACATAACCTTATTAGTCTGAATCAGTTATTTACTCAGTTCTTCTATTAGACGAGCCTAGTTAGGCTTGCATATTTTCATTACCAAACATCAGTAACATAAAGAAAAATACGACATTTAATAGTATAAGTATGAATTTTTGTACATGATGTTGTCTCACACCCGAATGTATCAGTTTATATCTTTCTTTTTTTTTTTTATTTCTATTTGCAGAAATATCATTTAAATCATCATTTTCGGGTTCAGAACAGAGGATTTGGTATCACATCGTCACTTTGGGATAGTGTGTTTGGAACTCTACCTCCATCGAAACTGGGTAACAAGAGGTAGATGGTTTTATTGGTCTGAAATCATTAAAACATTTCGCGGTAATTATTGAAACGCACGACCCGAAAAACCCTTTGCCTCCCGTTTTCTTCATGCCAGCTTTGTAGTATCAATGTATTATTTATCTTTGTGGAGAAAAAACACAAACTATGTAGTATCAATGTACTATTTATCTTTGTGGAGAACAAAACACAAAATGGTATTTTGGATATGATATTCATTTCTTTAGTTTGTATGATTTGATATGGAATTTGGTTAGCTGGGTCATATTCTTTGTTAGGTGCATGTTTTTATCAAGGTACTATTTATCTCGGTGTAGAAAAAACACAAACTTTGTAGTATCAATGTACTATTTATCTCTCTGGAGAGAACAACCCAAAATGGTATTTTGGATCTAATATTCATTTATTTAGTTTGTATAATTTGTTATGGAATTTGGTTAGCTGGATCATATTCCTTGTTAGGTGCATGTTTTTATCAATGTACTATTTATCTTTGTGGTGAAAATACACAAACTTTGTAGTATCAATGTACTATTCATCTCTGGAGAAAAAAAAAACCCAAAATGGTATTTTGGATATGATATTAATTCATCCATTTCATAATCTGTCCTCCAAAAACCTCTTCATACTGCATACACACACACNAATCAATGTGGAGAATTAAAAAAAAAACATAAATCTCCTCATTAATGGATGAAAAAAAAACCATAAATATCCTCATTAATTAATTGAACTCCAATTCATGCGTTTCATAAAATCTCTCCTCCAAACAACACGCTTTTCATTACTGCACATAACTTCCCCCCACAATTTCCTTGAACTGTAAACACACACCAAAAATGTCCACATTATTCCCAACAACAACAACCACACTCTCCTTTCTATTACTATTCATCTCATTTTCAAGAATCACCTCAACATGCAGAAGCCATGAATCAAAACAACACCGGTCATTCTTCCGGTGCATCAACCGCCAATTCCCCGGTCAATGCACCACCATCCTCGACCGATTCCACTCCCCGACCCACCCGACCTACTCGACCCTCCTCCAAAACTCGACCCGTAACCCGAGATGGTTCGACTCCACTTCCCAACGACCTTTCCTCATCGTAACCCCACAAACCGAGCCCGAGATTCGGCCCGTTATCCTCTGCAGCCGGGCCTCGGGCCTCCAAATCCGAGTCAACAGCGGCGGCCACGACTACGAAGGCCTCTCCTTCCGCTCCCCGATGAACCCTTTCATCATGATCCTCATGTCGAACCTCAACCGAACAAAAATCGACATAACTCATGCACACGCGTGGATTCAAACCGGCGCCAGCCTCGGCCAACTGTACTACGAGATTCAGAGGAAAAGCAGGGCTCACGCTTTTCCCGCCGGACTTTACCCGTCCGTGGGCTCCGGCGGCCACGTCAGCGGAGGCGGCCTCGGAACCCTAACGAGAAAATATGGACTCGCCTCGGATAACGTGCTCGACGCTCGTATAATGGATGCCAACGGGACAATACTCGACCGGAAAAAAATGGGTGAAGATCTCTTTTGGGCACTCCGTGGAGGCGGAGGCTCGAGTTTCGGCGTAATCCTCGCGTGGAAGCTCCGGCTCGTTCGAGTCCCGCCGGAAGTCACCGCATTTTCGGTTCGCCGGAGGCTCGATTTCGACGGCAACCCGGAGAATCTCGAGCTTCTCGAGAAATGGCAGGGGAATGCGTATAGGGCTCCCGACGAACTTTTCGTGAGACTACTCGTGCAGACGGCGCCAGACGACGACTCGGGAGAGAAACGATTCGTTCAAGTCACGTACAACGGGCTTTTCCTAGGGCCCGCGGAGAGATTCATTCGTCTCGTCAACCGGACTTTCCCGGAGTTCAATTTCACGGTCGGCGACTGTCTGAACCACCGGCCAGAGAATAACAACAACAACAACAACAACGGGTGTCGCGAGCGGCCGTGCGTGAAAAAGGAATGTTTCAACGTGTCGTGGATTCAGTCGGTGATGTATTTCTCCGGGAAAAAAACCGACGACTCGCCGGAGATTCTTCTCAGGAAGAAGGCGAACAACATGTTTAATTTCCATAAGGGCACGTCGGATTTTCTCGAGGCTCCCGTGCCAGTCGAGGGGTGGCGGATGGTGCACGATGCGTTTTTGCGCGAGGAGCAGCCGATGATGATAATCGACCCGCTTGGAGGGAGAATGGATCGGATATCAGAAGACGAGACGCCGTTCCCACATAGAAAGGGGAACCTTTTCAGCGTGCAGTATTTGACGTATTGGGGAGTGAGTAATAACGAGAGTGAGGCGAACAAGCACTTGCAATGGATGAGGGATTTGCGCGAGAAAACAAAGCCTTACGTGGCTAAGTCTCCACGGACGGCGTATATTAACTATAAGGATCTTGATTTGGGGAGTAACGACGCCAACTTTAGCTATAGTCAGGGGAAGGTGTGGGGGGAGAAGTATTTTAAGGGTAACTTTGAGAGATTGGCGAGAGTGAAGGGGAAGGTCGATCCGAGTAATTTCTTTAGAAACGAGCTAAGCATTCCGGTTTTGTTGGAGTAGAAACTCGAGTTGGAGATGAAGGTGAATGTGTTGAATAAGAGTCATCAAATTATATTTTTTTAATCATAATAATTATATACTCGTACATTAAATGAAAATGTCAACCCGTGTTCGAATTTTTTTTTACTTATATCATATAAAAATATTGATATTATTTACTATTACATAAGTACAAAATATATATCTTAAATAAATAGAAATAATATGGTGATATGTATATGCATAAGTGTAGAATATGTTTATTTAATATTAAACAATATAGATTAACTTTTTTTTACTTAATTAGATGCCTAATACATCAAATGTCGTATCAGTCATGTTTCACAGTTTTTTAACTTTATATGTTATTTTAGAATTTATATAAATAATTATTTATTTTTATTACATTGACAACATACCAATTAGATTTGAAATAAATATTATTTTTAAAAGAATACATACCAATTTCTATTACTTTATAATATAATTATAGTTTTATTTGATATAATTCAATTTAGTTTGATAAATAAATTTAAATTTTATTTATAAAGATATATATTACTGTTTTGTATTATATATATATATATATATATATATAAATAGTAAAATACAAACGGACTTCATAATATCAATTCAAATGCAACACACTAATTAAAATTTTTTTCTTGACAAAATTAACCCTATCTAATGGATGTTATGGGAAACGATGAAGATGAGATATGAAGAGACATTGTGTATTAGATGGAGGGTTAAAATGGAAAAATATGAACAAAATATCTAAAGCGACATTTATTTTATCAATGATCAATTAAGCCAAAGTGACAAATAATAAAAATAGGAGGGAGTATATATTATTATATAATTTAGTATGACACATGTTACTTGTGCGACTTATATCTGTTATATTATAATAAATTTTCTATCTTATAACATATAACTACATTAAACATAAATATATTAATTAATAATAATTTTATTTCCTAATTAATTTTAATAAATAGTTTTTTTTATTATTATAAAGATAAATATAATTTATTTATTTTATATATACAATATGGATGTCAAATCGAAGCTCATCAAAAGATGATTAATTTGATATATTATATATGTAAAAGCGATAAAAATACAAAAGTTATCAACTTTTAAAATATATTTTCACTTCAATGGTTATAATAGGAAACGATATTAAAATACAATTAATATAAATATTAATTTATATCCAAGCCTAATTCCAAAGCATGATTTTTTGCCAATCAGGATTCTGAAGCATGAGAGTTTGCCACGTAGGCTCAACGCATTCTGAAATTATATATAGAGGGGATGACTGAATGTATTTTATTTTTATTGTGAAATAATCTCTTTTTATTATATATAATTTCAGAATAGGTTGAGCCTACATGGCAAACTCTCACGTTTCGGAATCCTATTTGACAAAAAACCATGCTTTGGAGTGAGGCTTGGATATAAATTAATATTTATTATCACACTAAATCCATGATTGATTTGTTCCTTCTTTACTTATACAATTAGTTACCATAAATTATTTTATATTTCTTTTTTCTATATTACCATACATTACATTTCATTTTTTTATTTAATTCATTCATTAGTTATTATAAATGTTTCTTCTTCTAATAAAAATAAATAATTATTTATCTAAATTCTAAAATTACATATAAAATTAGAAAACTGTAAAGCACAATGGATACTACACTTGATGTATTTGGAATCTAATTAAGTAAAAGATTAATCTATTTTTCTTAATATTAAACAAGTATATTTCTGCACTTATACATATACATATCACCATATTATTTTTATTTATTTAAGATATATTTTTCTACTTAATAATAGTAAATAATATCGATAATTTTATATGATATAAGTAAAAAAATTCAATATGAGTTGACATTTTCATTTAATATACGGGTGTTTAAGTATTATGATTAAAAAAATATAATTTGATAATTTAATTAAAACCTAAAATAATATTTTATATAAAATTAAATTATTTTAATTTTAAAAAAATAATATTTTTTATATATGCTTCTTAATTCAATGTCCGTGTATTTACATGAGTATTATAACGTCCGTATATTTACATGGGTATTATACTAGTGAGAGGTTAAAATCAAATATGATTGATCGGATTGTGTTCCAATGATTATTTCACTCGTAAAGAAAACCAATGATTATTTCACTCGTAAAGAAAACACAAATTATATCTCCCTACTACCGATTCCACCTAAACATGCATACCGTTCTATCTAGTTACTTAAACTTAATAAGCACAATATTAATTCAAATTTCAAACACAACAAAGTATATATATCTATATATGCACTATTGGGGTAATATATTAATAATTATAACGAATCATTATTCAAATACAAATTCAATACCCAAAATTCATGACCCGTGACAAACAATCAAAATTCAGGCTATTCAGTAAATCTACTAAGTTAGCCGTGAATAAAATCAAGTACAACTGACTTTTTTTTTAAAAAAAAAAAAATGATTTCTTATATTTATATTTACTTCTTCCAGGGCAAGACCGGAATACTTTGCTCGTGCCTGAAAAAATTGTCCGGATCAACCCTTGTCTTAATTTTCACCAGCCTGTTAAAATTTGCCCTGAAATATTTAACCCCGTAAACGGCCCCTTCGCGGTAACTATTTTTACCGTTATCGTTAACCCCAATATCGAGGTCCCTGTAGTTGAAGAAGGCTCCCCTTGGGTCCTTGGAAACGTACGGCGTCATGTGGTCGTAAAGCTCGGTTATCGAGCCCAAATATCGCCGTTCGGCTTCTTCACCAGCTTCGTCCCAGTTCAAGGCATACTGGAACTTGGCAATGTTGCCGGCCCTATGGGGGAACGGCTTGGCCAACGGCGAAATTTCGGCCATTTTGCCTCCATAAGGGTTGAACACGAGACTCGGGTATTGTAACTCCAACATTTTCCCGAATATCGACTCTAGGCCTAGTTTGGGTATCGGTTTTTGGAGATAGTCCGATTTCCGCTTCAAGCGGTTGAGAGTCTGCGGGACCCGAATGAGGAGCGCATTTGTCGGAGTTCCTATTGGGAAATTCGTCCAGAAGAGAACCGAATCGATCCATCTCATTTTCAGGCAGTCGGCCTGCGTAAGCCCGAGCTCGGGAAGTTCCTGCCTCACGACGCGCAGGAGCTCGTCCGAGCTCCCGAGAAACATGGCGGTGAATGTGGCCCTATTCGTCCGGTTCGCGACGTCTAGGGTCAACCGGAGGAATAGATCTTCCGGCAATGCTCCGGCCATGACACGTTGGTAGCGGTCGACGAGATTCGTGAAATTCTCGCCGTTGTTCATCCTCCTAACCCTAAAAACCGTCACCTCCGGCGGGACCCGGATGAGGTTGATTTTGTAGGAAAGGACGACTCCGAAACTTGCCCCACCGCCACCGGTGATGGCCCAGAAGAGATCTTCTCCCATCGACTTCCGGTCGAGGACTCGACCGTTGACATCGACTATCCGGGCATCGGTTACGTGGTCGACCGAAAGCCCGAATTTGCGCATCATGTTGCCATAGCCGCCTCCGCTGATGTGGCCACCGACTCCGACTGTTGGACACACGCCGGCCGGGAAGGCGAGGGTCTCGCTAGCCTCGGAAATCGCGTGGTACACCTCGCCGAGGGTGGCTCCGGACTCGATCCAGGCCGACTCGTCGCCCGTGCTGACGTTCACGGACCTTAAGTTGAACATGTCGAGCACGAAGAAGTTAGGGTTATTCGTGGAACGATAGGAGATACCTTCATAATCGTGGCCTCCGCTTCGGATTCTCATCTCGAGGCCGTGGGATTTCGCGCACACAACGGCCAACTGGATGTGCGACACGTGGGTTGCAGTGAGAATGAGTCTCGGTTTAAGAGTGGTGGACTCGTTGAACCTTAGGTTGCGGATGTAGGCTTCGAGAACCGGTTGGTAGGATGAGTTGGTTCGGGTGTAAAGATTCGGAAGGATTGGGTTTGATGGGTCGGAGCGGGTTCGGAGGCACCCGACGAATGCCTCGTGGGGTGGGGCATTGTGGGGGCTGCTTGAAGCCCATGAGATGGAAAATGTAAGGGAAAAGAGGAGAGAAAATATTGCAATTGATGATGAGGTTTTCATGTTTAGGATGAATGTACTTTGCTTGATTTGATATGGATATGAGGGGTTAAGTTGTTTAGGTTATATAGAGAAAGATGATGGAGGGCACTTTGGATTAAACTAATTACAAAAATTGTTGGTGCAGATCTTCAACCATTTTACCATGGAATTTTCAACAAAGGGTGAGTAGGATTGACAAGAAACAATCAAGCTTTGACATCTAGTGGGTTTTATATGCATGCGTGTGTATCTAATTAATTGAATAATTAACTAACTGCTAGTGTAATGTCAACTGCGTGCTCAGATCAAGTTGGTGCTCATCTACATTTATTGGACTCTTAGCTTTATTAATGCTTAGTATTTTTCTGAGAGAATGTTTGTATAAGGGAGAAAATATACAAGCACCAACACATGAGCTAAAGTTGCTTGAAATATAATCCTACCATGTGAGGAAATCAATACCAATTTTGGGATAATGATATATCAATGTTTTAACTTGAAATCGTTGCTAATTTCAAATTGAAAAATAGAGAGGTAATACTAATATCACACTTAAAAGAAATTATATTCCAACAATAAAATATTCTGATAAAAATTACGAAGCATATTTCAATAGTATGACTTTAATTTGTTAAAAAATTCCAACGTATATTCAAACGGAGATCAACACTAATATATTTCGTTAGTAATTAATTTTTTTTAATAATTTTAGTTGGAGTTCGATGTTTCCAACTATATTTTTTTTCCAACACTATATCGAATATGCACATTGCATTGGTTTTTTTTTTAGACTGCGTTCCAACGTTGGAAAGTGTGGTTGGAATAGTTAAAATTCATTGAAAAACTAATTCCAACAGATTATTTTAATTTGTTGAAATCTTAGTTGAAATTCGTCGAAAAATTCATATGGAATTGTAGTAATAATAACATTAGAATATTCATATGAATTTCATTAAAATATATATTTGTTGGAAATTTTCATAGAAATTTTATCATTTTCTTGTAGTAGTGTGATAAGTGCTATAATATTTCTGAAGTTTACATACTAACTTCTCACCAAATCACTCTCTCAGCTCTCTTAATTAAACTATTCTTTTCACTATTATGATTGTTTTTACTTTTTATTCTCAATGATCTCACCTTGTATGTTTTAAGCCCGAAATATTTAAATGGTATCTTATATATTTAAATGTATGCTACTCAATTTATTGATTTGGACGTTCAATAGTTGACGCATTCTCCTTGTACTCAAATTTTGTTTTTATTAATTCATATCCTTACATGTTCACGTAAAGAAGATAAAAAAAGAAATTTTATCGGGGTTTTCTTAATTTCGTAGTCAAATTTAATTGCTGTCACAAGCACAACATAATTAAAATTGAAAAAAGAAATATAATAAAAAGATATCAGAATAAGCCGGTTGTCAAATCTTAATGGAAGGTTGAAAATCAATAAAGTCAATTAATGGAATATAAAAGCTCTAATTGGCATCTCTAATATATATCACCAATTCACCATGAAATGAGCATGTGGAGAGCCTCTGACCAGATCATACATTTGACTTCATGATTGAATTTATGTCTTTTCCAGATCTACAAAGTTATTTATTTCAAAGCTATGTTAAAATGTTTATTAGTTTGGTGTAAGTTATTTCAACGACAATTTATAACAAAAATAAGGAAAATTTTAGTTACATGAAAAAACGAAAAAATAAAATCAGATAATTTGATGATTAAAAAATAAGACAAGATAATAATTTTTCAAATATAACAATATCTTAAATTGTTATTATCACATATGGGATAAGTTATGAGCATGAATGATAGGTAAAATTTTAAAATAGACATAAATGATAAGTTAATTTTGAAAGTCTGATATAGCTAAATTATCTCCAACGAGACAAAATAATAAATAATTAAAAAAATTGCTTTATAATGAACTAAAGCTGACTATAGCTTCAATCGAATTTGTGGGCAAAAAAATTAAGGTCTTAAAATGTAATAAAGTCCACAATTAAAACAAATAATACGACTTTAGGACGTCGGCTAGTTGTATTTACATTCGTTGTATTAGGCCCAATTATATTATATAAATTTGGGCCGGCTGAAAGACGCGAAGCCCAAAATCTTGGAGCCCAAATTCTGCCATCTATACAATGCCTGACCTTGTCACAGCTTGTGGAATTTCAGCAAACAAGGAGAATATTATAAGGAAAAAAAATATAAAATAATATTAGTATTAATTGGTGAAGAAGAAAGATGCAAGCAGGCATAATAATTAGGTGGAGTCGAATTCATCATATTCTTTTTCTTTATGTATGAAATGTTATAATATTGAAATGTTTGATATCTAGTATCCATTCCTCATCTTATGATGAATGTAATAATACTTGAACAATTCGTTAAGTACAAAAAGGAGTGAAACATTTTATTAATGGATCGATTTGAACTTACATGCATTCGCTTACTGTCACACTAACCACAATCAGTATAGCTATGTATATATGCAGAGTTTGTCAAATATAGAGAACTTGGAGAGGCCAAATGCTTAAACTTATTGTTAACTTAACTTAACCATTGTATAAAGAAACTTCAAAATAAAGCAACAATATTAGAATGATGCTTTGATGTTTTAGTTATTCAAGTGTATCAGTGGAATACTCTGCTCGTTTTGGAAAAAGTTAGTCGGATCAACCTTCGTTTTCACCCGAACCAACTTGTCGAAATTCGTCTTATTGAAGTACATTAAGCCTGAAACATTAGCCCTTGTGTAGCTCGTGTTTGTGTTTGTGTTCACTTCCAAATCCAAATCCTGGAAGGTGATTTAAGCCTTTCTTGGAAACTTGATGCGTAAGGCGTAATCTCCTCACCCAACTCATCAACCTCTCGGTTGCCTCTTCCCGTGCCTTGTCCAATACGCCAGTTGTATTTTGTACAAATTTCCGCTCTATGAGGAAACAGAAGTGCCGATTCTTGAATCTCCTTCATTCTCCCGCCGTACGGGACTATGAGAATCTCCGCCATCCCGGCTTCCCATTCTTTCAAAAGCTCCAACATTCCCTCGATACCGGATTCTGATATAGGTTCCTCCACCTAATCCAATTTTGTCTTGAAATAGTATTGAGTTGTCGGGAGTGTACTCCTAATAATCCTCGGGTTCCCGCTCGTCAATACTTAAACTCAACACATTCAAAAATTATAAATATGGGGATGACAGAAGATTGTTGATTGAGATCGACCAAATAATTTCATTTTTAGATAGTCGGCCTTCTTTGGGTCCCAAATCGTATATGACCTTCTCACCGAAGTACCTGAAAAGATGTCAGAAGGATTACCGACGTATAGCCTCTGACGATAAAACTAATCTCTCGAACATGTTGTGCGTGATAACTATTAACCAAAGAAAAACTCTCTAATCATAATTCACCCCTTATATAGAAGGATGATTACTTTGGTGTCCAAGAACTCTATCTTGCACCCAAAATCTCAATCTTTTCTAGGTTGACCCAAAGTCTCCCTTTTAGGTCATCCGTTGCATCTACTTGATTATCTAGAATTCAAGCCACATAAGTCTTAATTAGATCCATAACTCGACTTAACGCCCTTGGGATACCTATACAACACACCGGAGCTCATAAGTTTCCCAACGTGCCATCTGCCTAACTGCCTAACTCTGACGTTAAGGTCATTTGTCCTTGCAATAGGTGACCGCGCGTCGCAACGCGGCAAAATTAAAATTTATATTTTCCTCGACTAACCTCTACTAACTAGTAGTAGTGACGAGCAAGGGTCGATCCCACGAGGAGTGTAAATCAGATCGTGAATTTTCTCGTATTAATTGAAATTATTAAAAGGGATAAATGGGGAGATTTTGATTTAATAACTAAACTACCTAAAAATCTAATGAAATAAATAAAATCTAAACAAGAAAATAAAAATAAAAATAAATAAAATAAGAGAAAGCTTCTAGTTCACGGTTCCGTCTACACCTTCGACTGACTCGTCTAATCAATCTTAGTATCAAATCTCGCTATCTCATGAAATTACTAGCCCTAGGTAACGACACGGTCTGTTACCCGAATTTTTTTGTTATTTTTAATTTAACCACGAGACGCTCGACGATTAAACCTGACTTTTTGTACAGTCCAGAAAAACGTTTTCAAGATCTAATACAATTAGCCGCTTTACGATTTAGAAAAATAGGCTAGACTAATTAGTGAACTCAACCGCGTTCGTTCACTTAATTAGACCGTGTTATCCCCGGTAGTTACCATCTTCCGGTTACCTCTTATGAATTAAACACAACAACAATTACGGATTGCAGGTCTAACTCAGATGTAGATATAAAAAGCCTAATCTAGGTGATCAATCTAAACAAGACTAACACATCATGGTGAATTATTCAAAATAACACAAGCAATTCCAAAAAGATATTAAAATCCTCAACCATATAAACCAATCAAAACATAGTCAATCGTAGGGTTCGACTTTCCCAGAACCAGAATAAAGGAACTACTCTAACATAATAAATAAAAGTAAATAATAAATAAAAGAGAGAGATTAATTATCTCTCTCCGCGTTTGATCGGACTTCTTGCGTTTTTCTCTGTCCTGCTCCGTGCGTCTCTTTTTATTTTCTCCTGTGCGTGAATATGGCGGCTCCAAAGCTTGCGTGAATAAATCTTTTTTCTACAGGCTACGTGTATACAAGTATTGCGGCCTTTTTTTTAATTGGATGTGAGTGCTACCAAAATATTTCCTCCCAAAATGTGGTTGCGTGGAAAATAAATTCCTCCAATAAATCTTCAAGGCTGGTACGGGCTCTGCGTGAATGTCCAATTTCCTTTTTGGTTATAGACTAAAATAATTGGCTTAATTATTTTAATTAGGCCATTATCTCCTTGATTTGCAAATATGGGCCTTAATTGGGTTGGTATGGGACACCCCATACTGGACTACTCAATTCTCGTTCGGTGCCACGCCGTCAATAAAAATCTTCCAATATCCTAAAAATAAATCATAAATATATCATAGTACTTAAATTCATCTAATAAATAAATAAGTCAGAAAATATATAAGTGCGATAAAATTAAGCACATAACAATACGCTAATAAATATATAAAGTACACACTTTTTTCGACCTATCAATAGGCCTATTGCGAGTTGTCTAGAGGTCGTTGGCACATCAAGCAAACGAGCCAACCGGGCGCCAACAGCAGCAGGTCGTCACTCGTCTCGCGCCGCGAAGGCCTTCACGAGGACAGAGGCAGAAAACGAGCAGGAGCTTCGCGGCGTGACGCCACTCACACCATGACAGGTTGGCCTGGACTGTAGTTTCACGTGTGACATGGAAGTGCATGGCCGGAGTAGTTAATATTAGTTGTATTAGTTAAGTATTTGGATAGGATTATCATGTTAGTTATAGTTTAAATGTTTGAATGATTAGTTAGGATAATTTGAATCTTTTAGTATTTAAAGACTAGGAAATGATTTTGTAAGGTTAGACAAGTTTTATGAAATAAAGTTTAAGAAAAAAGGCTCGTTTCCGATTAATAATCTAAGGCCGATAGCGCCGATTTTTAATTTATTATCGTTGTTAGAGCCAAGGCCGTTAGCACGAGTTCATACACTAAACCGAGTCCCGATACACGACCTTTATCACACCTCTCTGACATATAGACCCTTTAAACCACCAAACCCGAGCTAAATTCTTACTAGGCCGGTCTACCGTACTATTATTGATAACCTTGTTAATCGATATATAATTCTATTAATTTTAATTTGCATTAAATATTAATAGATTATTTAAAACAGAAGTTCATTAAAAAAAATATTAATTTGGTATATATACGAAAAAACTAATAACAAATATAAAAGTTATTGACTTTTAAAATTTATAATTTAAGTTAGTCAAATATTTTATAATTTTAAAAGTAATATATGTATAAATAAAATCCATATTTACACACAAATTAAATTAGTAACCATAGGAAATGTTATATTGGGAACATAAGAAAGGATTACCAACATAAAATTTAACAAAAATGTTTTTAATTGGTTTAACTAGTAATCAATATGTGCATTTGCACAGAGACGAATACTTTAAAAACATAAAAATAAAAAAAAAAAACAAAAATAAATCATAATTTAATTCATGAAAAAATATGAATTAAGAAAATAATTCTCAAAATTGATTTTGATCAAGTAATTGCTATGGAAGAGCCGTTACAACCATTTTCTTTATACTAATACACCCAACAATTTTCATGAGTGAGTGTGACTTAAAATTTGAGTACAATTTTGTAACTTACTTGATTGGTTAATGCTCATAATTTATGGCATTCAAGCAAGTTATTTTGTAACTTAAAAATGAAATTGAATGCTGAAAATTTCGGAGGGAGAATAAAATTTAATGCATGAGAATAAAATTTAATGCATGGTAATAAAATTAAATGCTTTGTTGCTCCTCTTTATATATATAAAGATTAGAAACTTTTCTCATATAAGCTAACATTTTACAACCAGTTTTTCCGGCAGTTATACCGTGCTCTTAACATTTTTAAGTAATTTTTAATAGTATTAATGAAAGATATGTACTTTCTAATAGTATTAATACCATTAATTAAATGACCGTATAAATTTACAAAATAAGAATTTTAGTCATAAAAAGATGAATTTTAGACATTTTGTGATATAAAAGTACCAATTTATCCTTCACTCAATTTTTTTCACCCTACTTGTGCTGTAATTTTACTTTGTACTGTAATTTTGTAAAATTATGTCAAATTGAAAATTAAATAAATAAATAAAAGCTAGCCGAAGCATTTGGAGTATAATATACTACTATAACTTATTATCGTTCATCTATTTTTCGTGGGGCGGCACTCATACCCTCGTGCTCTCAACATTTTTCTTACCAACGAGATTCTAGGTAATTAAATCTGTCTTTACTTATATATCATTCTCTATAAGTTCTCTTTTTTTTTTTTTTTTTTTTNATTATATATAAATTTTGTAGTGATTGTTCTCTATTTTTTTAGAATTGTGTAGTGATTTCTCCATAGATCTATGTTTATTAGCTTTTATTAAATAAAAATACATAGACTGTTTGCTATTAAAATGGAAATAGAGTTGATCTGCGATTTGTAAATGGGAGATCCAACCAACACAAAATATTTAGAAATAAATTTTGAAATGGGAGATCCAACCTAACACGAAAATGTATTTAAAAATAAATTTTGAAACCTCGCTAGCTAGAATAGTAAAAAGTTCTATAGAAACTGATTATTTTTGAAACCTCACCGCATTAATTACAAAATTAAGCTAATTGAGAGATCATAGACTTAATTATGTAAATGTTTGAATTTTTAACGTTTTTGAACTGAAAAATTAAATGAAATTATTCTGAGGATGGGACAATTTCCAAGTTAGTTTTGTTGTATACTCGTGTTTTTTTAGTATTATAAGATTTTTTTTTTTTAATACTACACATTTTTTATTTAAATTTAAAATTCATATTAAAATTACTTTATAGTTTTTTATTTAAATTTTTCCTTCATAGTTTGTAAGGGAATGATTTAAAATTCATACTAAAATTATTTTATACAGGGAATATTCGTTTTTAGTGAAAAATTTAATGCAAATGCGCCTAATGAAGTTAGTTAGACATTAATGGAGTTTAACAACATCATTTTTAAAATCAATTTTAAAAACCTTTATGCTTCAATATTCTTTGTAAAGTGTGATATGTATTCTTAATCTATATATCTATATATTATATATATATAGGATGTGGTTCAAATGAGAACCAAGTCCTAGCGTGAGAACCGTGAGAATCGCTATTTTTAATTATATGTAGTGCTATGATTGATTGTATTTAGTGCTATTTTTAATCAGGATGTATTTTATTAAAAATAGCAACTTAGCATTTGTAAAAATGATAGCACCATGTAAGATTAAAAATAGCATCATACACAATTAAAAATAGCATCAAATATGGTTCTCACGGTTCTCACACCAGAAGAGGTTTGTATTTGAACCACTCCCTATATATATATATATATATGTATATATATATATATATATATATAATTGTAGGCTATCCAATTAATGTGGATAGTCTACTTTTCTCGCCTATTTTTTAAGTTGTTTTTAGTATGTTTCACCTATCATTTTATTTGTGTTTTTGTAATTAATATTATAATATTTAATAAAAGTTGTAACGGTCATGTCTTAAAAATTAATATAATTGCATTTTTTGTTAATTTAGAAAGTAAAATTATATTTTTTATGTATCTCATACAATATTGTATATATATTCTTTCTTCCGATTTTACATTTATTTGACATTTGAATTTTAAATTACTCAAGCTTATTTTTAATTGTTTTAATTCCGGCAATAAAATTAATTTTTAAAGCAATTATTTGAAGTAAAGTAATATATAATTTTTGAATGTTCCTTAGGAAATAAATTTATAAAAATAAATAATAACATATCAATTATTTTGTCTTTTCATTTGTAGAGATTCTATTATTAATATGTATATATATATATAATAATCCCATCTATTTTTTTTCAGTCATTTTAATAATATAAATTAATGTTAGTTTTTATCACTTATGTTATTTTTTATCAACTCTTATTCTAAATTAATTTTTAAGTGTTGTAAAATACATTAAATGTTATACATTGGTCTATTAACTGAGGTGCAGTGGTTCTTTATTTTTTCTACATATTTTTGCAAAAAAATAAAAAAAATTAAAATTCTTATTAATGTGTAATAAGTGATTGTGATATTTATTAATGATCAAATATTGTTATAATAAAATAATACCAATATAAGTATTTGATTATAAGTGAAAAACTATCATGACATAACCTAAATGTACATGTATTTTATTGTATAATTTGTTCGGCAATTCTCGGAAAAACGATCAATTTATGTGGTATATAAGATTTACGTTGTTCATTTTAAATTTATTATTTTACTTTGGTAATACTTTATGTTTATTATTATAATAAAATGTTCAAATTGTATAAAAATTAAGTTATTTATCATATCATGTAATAATAGTCATAAATATATGATAAATTCTACATTTCTATTGTTATTTTTTTATGAAAGTATAAAAATCCAATTAAGAGTATTTATGTAATTTGATTATAAATGTGATACATACTATTAAGTAAATGTTGTTTTAATTATGATTTATATATATAGTATTTATTTATTTTAGTAATCTGTGCACGTGCACAGAATTAATATAGTGTTGTTACAAGATGAGAAGCAAAGAAACACAAACCGGGTCATTTTCCTTTTCATTTCTATCCATCCCAAAACAAGATTCAAATAACTACCACTTTACAAAGAAGTAACCAATAAATAATAAATTAATTAATTAAAGTAAATTAAATTTTAATTAATTCCTCTAATACTCTGTGTATGATTTCTTCTTTTTCTGTCTTAGGTTCATGTGCATAATGAAGTGTTCCCTTATTTTGTAGATACTAAACAATGGCAACCGACCTAGGATTCTTCAAGTTCTTCTTTCTGGACACTTGCGGAGAACAATTGGTATAATTTCTTCATCACCTTTTCTTGGATACATTTTAATTTCATAACTTTTTGTTATATCATATATGCTTTTATTGTGTAGGCTTAACATTCAATTTCGTAACTCAAATCTTTTTTCTTGGATACATTTCAATTTCATAACTTTGTGTTGTGTGCTTTTATTCTGTAGGTTTAAACAGCTAATTTTGTAACTCAAATCNCTAGGTTCAGATATGTAGCTACTTGATTAGGCTGTTACTGACTGTTTTCTAGATTGTAAATATGTGTTTTATTTATAAAGTCTATTGTTTTAAAAAAAAAATTGTTTTCATCCTATTTGAATACTGATTATTTATTTTATTATGTATCATGTGCGTTTTTAATGTCAACTGAAAGTTAATAAATTTTGTTTTGACATAATTGTTTTGTTCTTCTTCTATTATTTGAATTTGATCAATTATAATATTGAGTATATATTCTTTTCTATTATTTTTATTAACGACATAAAATAATAGCAATTGATATTTGCTAACTGAATTTTTGAAATTATCCATGCGTCATTTATAACATAATTTTCATATATATTTTGTTATCATTTTATCTAACTATTAGTACATATCGTGCATTATAAATATATATTAAAATTAAAATTTTGATGGAAATTTAGTCTTTTTAATACTTTGGTTCATATTGCTGTTTTTTTTTGTTGTTGTTGTGTTGTTGTTGTTGTTGTTCTAATGCAGCTGATTCGGTTGGAAAGCAGAGTCAACGCAAGAGGAGAGTACTTTCCGATATCTATGGCTCCGAGATTTTCCTGTCCCGATTGGCTCCCCACCCGACTAACCCTTACTTTGTGACCAAAATTAACCCGAAGCGCAGGAGTGAATTCGTAAGAACATCTATTTAAAATTTACATTTATTCAAGTTACTACTGATTTTTGTTCATAGCATAAGCACATTTTTTTTTTTTTTTTATTAATATTATCATCTAAAATCACTTTAGATCTTGTTTAGTTCACATGTAATTAAGAACAAACAATGTTTGATACACATAAGCCTGTAAACGAGCCGAGGCGAGCTCGAGTTCAAGCCCTTAACGAGTCAATCTGAACTCGGTTTATTAAACAAATGAGCCTGAAATCGAGCTCGAGCGCGGCTCGTTTATCACTAATAATGAGCCGAGTTTGATCCGATATCGAACTTTAACAAGCCGACCTATAGCAAATTATATAAAAATCTCTTTTCGAGTCTCGACTCAGTTCATTAACCAAATGAGCTTTAAATGAGCTCAAGCTCGGCTCGTTTATCAAACGAGCCCAGCTGAGCTCGAGCCGAGCTAGTCAGGCTTGTGTAATTTAACAGCACACACTGCACACATATCTTATATAGAACACATTACTATTCATGTTTTTCAAATGTGTGTATGATTTTTCGACACTAAAACTTAATTGTTTGCGTACGAAAGTACATCCCAAAGCAATTGATGCGCCATGGAAACATCGAACTTGCGGAGAAAATCATATTCGAAGATCCGAGCGGGAGGCAGTGGATCGGCAATCGGCAGACGTGGAATAACAGCCGAGTTTTTTACACAAAGGGATGGAGACCACTTTGTGAGTGTAACTCTGTACAAGACGATGACTTGTGTATATGTGAGTTCACTAAGGATGAAGATGGGACTAACTTCATAAATGTTAGTTTTGTCCGTGGTGGTTATTAGGTGATGATGTTAAAGTAATTGGTACTTTTTACTTTTTACTATGATTATTTTCAACAAGCACAGCCATGAACATCAGAACATCGTGTTGATTGGAGTTAAAGTACGAAAGATTTTTGTTTTTAATTTTTATTTTTGGTGCATTTGCTTAGGCATCTTCTTTTGTGCTATATATATATGGGGTTTGATTGGATTTCATTTTGCTCTTATTATGCTGCTTAATAATATGGTATGGAGCCCGCTATATGTTGATTCGAGGACCAAAATAGGAGGCCCTTTTCAAATGGACTCTAATGGAGAGCGGTTTGTAGGTGAACAAATCTCTGTTTATTTACATATTTATGAAACTTTTAGTTGCAAAGATAATAACTTTAATAAATGATTTATTTGTGGTTTCTTGTTAGAGTAATGCTATATTACCAACCTAGTTGTATATTAGGTTACAACACAAGTGAAAACATTTACTTGTGTATTTTTTTATTTTTATTTTTTTGAATGTGGTATACTTGTGTTGTCGACCTAGTTGTACACTAGATTGGTAATGTATCATTTTCTTATTTTTATTATAGGTTTACAAGTTTCATTATTTTTTGGTTTATGACTTGTTTATAAATGATTTATATATAACTTTATTTAAATGTCGTGTTTTGCAATAATAATAATAATAATAATAATAATAATAAAAAAAGTAAAATAAAAGTATAGTGAACATGTAAAAATAACCTAGGTTTTTTTTAAATTTCATGGCACTTAATTTTCTCATCAAGTGTAATTACCGCATACTTTTACTTAATTTGTTTTTAATGTACAACTCAAAATATGTATTTATATATATATATTAAAAAAAATTGGGATCAATACAATACAATTAGTTAACATGTCCTTCTCGGATCAATTTTCGATATTCTTTCCAACAATAACATTAGTTAACACGTCTTTATTCACATCAATACAATAAAACAAGTGTAGCAAGTTGCAATTTTGCAATCAAGCCGAGTCAAATCCTGCCGCCATGGATGGAATACTCTGTTCATTCCTGAAAAAATTCTCCGGGTCAACTTCGGTTTTGACCCGAACAAGCCTGTCGAAATTTCGGTCGAAATACTTCCGACCCCAAACACTCGCCCGCGCGTAGCTCGACTCTCCTCCATTTCTTCCTATGTCGAGATCTCTATAGTTAACGTACGCCCTTCTTGGCGAGCTTGAAACATATGGAGCCATATAATCGTAAAGCCTCGTGATCCAATCGATGTATTGATCGGCATTTTCCGAGTCGTGTTCTTCCCAATACACGGCATAATGTAGACTGTACAAATTCCCGGCCCTATGCGGAAACGGAGTCCACGACTCGGAAAACTCGTCCATTGCTCCACCGTATGGCACCATGATGATGCTTGCTTTCTCTCCTTCGGGCTCGTAAAATAGCCTCAAAAGGCCCTCGATCCCCTGTTTCGAAACGGGCCTCCAAACGTAGTCCGATTTCCCCTTGAAGTATCTTACTTCGGGTTGAGCCCGGTCGAGTAGAGCCTTGCGCGATTCTATTGGAATGCCCGCGAAGTAAAGCACAGACTCGATCCAGCTCATCTCGGTGCAGTCTTCCCTCGTTAACCCTAGCTCGGAGAATTTTTCTTGCATCATCGGAATCAACCTTTCGACCCCTCCAAAGAAAACCGAATTGAACGAAGCGCGGATCGTGAAATTCTTCCGAACCGACATCCTTTCGACAAAAACTCGGATGAACAAATCTCGGTCGATTGCGTTCGCGACGCTCTGCCATCGGTGCACGAGTCGAGTCGCGTTCTGCTCGAGACATCGCCTGATCGTGAAGACGGTGACTTGTTCGGGGACTTCGATGAGGCGTACTTTCCACGCGAGGATCACGCCGAAACTCGCGCCCCCGCCTCCTCGAATGGCCCAGAAAAGATCCTCGCCCATCGAGCGTCGGTCGAGAATTCGGCAATTTGTGTCGACTATTCTTGCGTCGATTACGTTGTCGGCCGCCAAGCCGTGTTTTCGTATCATGCTGCCGTAGCCGCCTCCGCTGAAATGCCCGCCGACGCCGACGCTCGGGCAAATGCCGGCAGGAAAACCGAGAGTCGAGCTTCGTTCGGCGATTTTGTAGTATAAGGAGCCGAGGGTCGAGCCCGATTGGACCCACGCGGTTTTTTTCTCGGGGTCGATGGTGACTTCACTAAGGTTGATTAAGTCGAGGATTATGAAATTAGGGTTTTGAGATACGTAGGATAGGCCTTCGTAGTCGTGGCCTGCGCTTCGGGTTCTGATCTCGATGTCGTTTTTCTTGGCGCAATGGATGACGGGCGGGACTTGAGACTCGTGCTGGGGGGTTATGATCACTTGTGGTCTCGGGGTTGATTGCGAAGTGAATCTAAGGTTTTGGATGGAAAATCGGAGAATGGACGAGTAGGATGAGTTGTTCTGAGTGTAAGTCACGTTGGAAATTGAGTCGTGGAAATCTTCGAGACATTTGAGAAAAACTTCGTGATCGGTATCAGCGTAAGCTGATGACGAGCACGAAAATACAAGAAGAAAAATGAGGGATAAATGAAAAATTAATGTAGTTTTCATCATCATCTATTAATGCTAGCTTATAGTACAAAATTTATGTGTATTTTTCAGGGAAGGTATATGGAATTGAGTTGCGTTAAATAAATTTTTGGATATGACGGGTTCAATGAATAAAGCGTGAAGTTTAAATAAATTTTGAACATGACGAGTTTAATGTATTTTATTATCAAGGCAAGGAGAACCATAAATGATCAATCATTGGTGCAAGAATATATGTCTAATGACATCAAATGATGAATCTTTTACTTTAGAAAAAAAAAAAATGTAGAAGCGTACAAGTTGCGTTAAACATTATATTTTATTGGTAAATCAATAGAATCAAATTAATGATTATCTTTTATTGTTTAAAATTAAATTGGTAGTCAAATTGCAAGAGGAACACTTTATGGGTTGGTTGTTAGATTTATATGTCGCGGGTTTGATAAGGGTGAAGCGCAATTAGCTTATACTACTTAGTTGTTACCAAATTGAAGTTCAATTTTAAAATTAATTGAGGATAATAAATTGGACTATAAGAGGAGTAATTCACTAAATATAAAAGAGTTCAAGTGGAAATTTATTTCAAAATCTGATAGAACTAGAGTTATAAATTAGATTAATTTTAAATATTTGACGAATTCACGGGTGTTTTTCTAATCAACACGTGAGAGTTGTACAATCAGTCAATTACTCAAGTTGCCAAGTAGCATTGCCAGCTAACTAAATCATTACCCGGGAAATGCTCCCACCAAGAATGGACACATGTTAATATGTCCATCGCTTACGTGGCATGAACACATTGGTGATATATTTTTTTAATATATTAACATTACTAACGTGTGCATGTCACATAAGCAGTGGGCATATTAACCTGTGTCCTAGGGGAGCATTATCGATCATTACCCTATAAAAAAAATAAAATAAAATAAAAATCCTACCCAACAAAATATAAATTGAATATAATATAACATTAATGGAAATTATTCAATCAGACATTTTTTTTGGAACAATTCTTTATTCATAAATAATCAGCCGATAATCTAAATGGCTATATATTAATAATTATTAAAAAAAATACTTTTGATTTTTTTTTTTAAGGTAAGAGTGGTCTCCAAATTTTGGATTTCGGAAAAATTCACCTTGAATAATGTAGGGAACTGTATCGGGAAAATGAAAATAAGATGGCTAAAATAAAAATACCGAGGCCTGTGAGAACACAGTGTCCTTAAAACAGATTCGCCCCGTATGAGCGTCAGTTTCCCAGGATACAACGAAAGAACCGAAACTAATCCAGCGAACTGGAACTATGCCTGGACCAAAACAATTAAAACAATAATGGGGAAAAAGCCTTTATGTGGGTTTTATTTCTTTTCTTGGTGTTATCTCACTCTCGTGAGTCCTTTCTTCCAAAGATGACAAGACCTTTATATAGCCTTAGGTAAGCCATACTCATTAACTCATGTATTTACTCCAACACTTAATATAGTTAAGTTAATGCAACATTAATCAAACCAAGTTACAAATTTTTAAAAAATGAAAACACGATTTTAAATTAATATATCAGTTGCAACTTTTATTCACAATTTTCCAACAAATAATAGTAACATAAATAAACAGTCTATATAACCAGTCTTCTGAGATCCAAATACTGTTTATAAAAATTCAAAAGTTCCCAGCCAGTTTGCTGACAGAAGCTCATTGTAATCAACCAAATGAATCTCTTATTACCACATGAACTATAAACTCATTACATTGCAACAAATGTTAAATATCACAATCTCTTACTCTCAAACCTCAAAATACACAAACAGCCAATTATGAAATCAGAATTATTTAGTAAACAAACATAAATAAAAGAACAAATCATATATATGGAGACTAATATAGAGCCTGCACTGCAAGATGAATCAAATGCTGTTAATTCCTCATAAACCATATAAACTGCGCTTATTAGTCATCTATCTCTTCATGTAGCGATGGAATACTCTGTTCATTCCGGAAGAAATTCTCCGGGTCAACCGCGGTTTTCACCCGAACAAGCCGGTCGAAATTGTTCTTAAAATACTTCCTTCCCCAAACGCTTGCTCGCGCGTAACTCCCCTGACCTTCATCACCGTTAACTCCAATATCGAGATCTCGATAGTTAACATACGCTGCCCGAGGAAAACTCGACACGTAAGGAGCCATATAGCTATAAAGCCTCCGAATCCAAGCCAAATACCTCTCGGGATTCCGATTTTCGTTCTCCGGCCACCTCACTTGATAATGGAGACTATACAAATTCCCGGCTCTATGCGGAAATGGAACTTCCGTCTCCAAAATCTCGTCCATCACCCCACCGTACGGCGTCATGAGTATCTCCCCTTGCTCGGCTTCCGGCTCGTATAACAATCTCCAAAGGCCTTCGAGCCCGCCTTTTGGAATGGGCCTTGTCACGTAGTCCGATTTCGCCTTGAAATACCACATGAAGCTCGGTTGGGCCCGATCGAGTAAAGCCTCGCGCGGTTGGATAGGTAACCCGGCCGAGTACAAAACCGACTCGATCCAGCTCATCTCAACGCAGTCCTCTCTCGTCAACCCTAGCTCGGGAAAACTCCGTCGCAATACCGAGACCAACCTCTCGGCTCCTCCGAGGAAGGTCGCGGTAAACGAGGCCCGGATCGTGAAATCCCGACCCGCACGAGTCGAGTTCGCCCGTCTGACGAAAACTCTGACGAGCAAGTCTCGGTCGAACGTGCTGGCGATGCTCTGCCATCGGTGAACAAGCTGAGTCGCGTTCTGCTCCAGAGTCCGGTCGACCGTGAACACGGTGACTCGTTCGGGGACTTCGACGAGTCGGACTTTCCATGCGAGGATCACGCCGAAACTCGCGCCCCCGCCGCCTCGGATGGCCCAGAAAAGATCCTCACCCATCGATCTCCGGTCGAGGATTCTACCGTTCGAGTCGACTATTCTCGCGTCGATCGTGTTGTCGGCGGCGAGGCCGTATTTGCGGAGCAACCTTCCGTAGCCGCCTCCGGTTATATACCCGCCGACGCCGACTGTCGGGCAGATTCCGGCGGGAAAACTCAGAGTCGAGCTTCGTTCGGCGATTCTATAGTATAGAGAACCGAGGGTTGCGCCCGATTGGACCCACGCAGTTTTTTCTTGGGTGTCGATTGTTATTTCGCCGAGGTTGATTAGGTCGACGATTACGAATGGAGTTCTCGACACGTAGGATAGGCCTTCGTAGTCGTGGCCCCCGCTTCGTGTCCTAATCTGCAAGTCGTTGGCTCGGGCGCATTGGATGATGGCCGGGATTTGGGACTCGTGTTCGGGAGTTATAATCACTTGGGGTCTCGGGGTCGATTGGGAAGTGAATCTAAGGTTTTGGATGGAAAATCGGAGAATGGATGCGTAGGATGAGTTGTTTGGGGTGTAAGTCACGTTTGAGATCGAGTTGTCGCGGTTTTTTTCGATGAGACATTCGAGAAAATCGTCGTGATCGGCTGTGGCGGTTAACGAGCACGAGAAGATGGTACCAATGGTGAAGATTAATAGAGTTGCAAGATTTGGGCTCTTCATGGCAGTGTAGTGTGTTTGTATGTGGATTTAGGAGTTGGTTTTTGTGTTTAAGGTAAGTTTGAGTTAGGGATTATGTGTATGGATTTATGGATTGGTTTTTTTGTGTTTTAAGGAAGTCTGAGTTAGGACCTACTTATAATGTTTTTGAGTTAGGGAAATCTAAGGAGAAAAGGTCTAGGAAGGTTGTCGCGTATGATGACCTCTTTGGTATTTTATTCCCTGGTGGAACCATATTTGTGAAGCATGCATATCTGGACTAAAATTATCTCCAATAGATAAATTTCATTTAAAAATATATTTTGACTTTGACCAAATTGACTTCAGCTGGGACAGACGACAATTTGTCAAGTAACTTGTACAAAAATGCTGTACAAAACGTCCCTAGCTAATATCCAAAATAGTTTGTCCAAAAAATATATGAATTAGTTAGTATTATTTAAATTTTTTGCAAGTACGTAGTTAGTGGATAGTTTTTGTCCAATATTTTGTATTTCTTAACATGTTGTGCTCAAATTTTATTAATTAGTGGGTATTTTGTACAATTACGTAGTAAAAAATTACCATTTATGCAAAACTATCTATTATATTGTTAACATTTTTTCCTTTCCATACCAAGAAACCATAACAAATTACTTTACTCGGTTGTAATTATGAAATTATTATTGTTGCTATAGGGGAAGGTTCTTTATTATTCAAAGTGGGCAACAATGGAGTAGTTAATATACAAAACTACTGACGTTTTCAAATTAAGTTGCATATATTTGACATTTGGCTATTGACTAGAAAATGACCAGGTGATTTAGTTTTACCATACATATGTTCCCGAATTTTGAATGAGTGATTATACTATGAATAAAAAGTAACAAATTAAATGACTTCTTGATCTATTAATATTTAATAGTTATTATATTCACCACCAAATAAACTTTAATTGTATATATGATTTCTCGTGTTTAAATGATAGCAAAATACAAATATAGAAAGAATATTGAACGTTTTACACATATGAACCGAATCCATTTTGACACGCTTATATTAGACAGACCTGACAATTAGATTGGTGTACCATTTT